CCCTTTTATTTATGTAAATTATTAGATTTCATCTCATCTTACATGAACGTTATTTGTTTACTTGTAACCGGATGTTTTTAATGTAGATTATTGTAGTACGCATGCGTGAATTTGGTATCGGGTTGGTTAGCCTTTTTAAAAGTTCGCCCTTGGTCTGTTCGTCCTAAGTTCTTCCGCCCATAGAGTACGTTCGCCCTAAGTTTCTTCTACTTACTTTTATCAATGACGTTTTAACGGCCTTTCATTTAATAAAAAATATTATAATAAGGGTATTCAATTTTAATAAACTTATTCAGATATTTATATGGTATAAATTCTCGAAATTCATGAAAACACGTGAAAAAAAATAAAGTTAAATGTTGATGGCTTGTCTTGGAGCATTAATAGGTCGTGATAATAATTCTCTGATTGGTGTAATAATTGTCTTTATTAGATTAATTATTGGAATTATCTGAATGAAACAACTGGATTATTCGGGTTAATCTAAACCATGTTGGTTACATATCTGCGCATGTGCACAAATGGGAAATTTAATAGACAATTTGTGCGTACGAAAGTTTCAAAATATTTATCGATAAACAGAATTGCATATATTCATACAATCCATCTTGTGTTGAAGTCAAGTATCTTCGTGGAGAGTACGACTTCAACTTGATCAATAATCCTTGAAAAAATACACGGATTGGGTTGTTCCGTCTACGTTTATATCTTTAATGCAATCAAGTCATATTCCAGTTTTAGACAACATGTGTTTTTTAATACGAAAGTTATAATATTTAAGTATATAAGTTTAAAAAACGGGATCTTAACAACTAAATAGTCCAGCTCTTTGCCGTTATTCGTCATTTAGGTACACCCATTATCGAGGCTCGAGTACGGAACCAGTTTGAAATGCTGATAAGTGCCCAAAACCCAATTCTTGGCCTGACACATATCTGCATTGGATATATTTAGAATTTTTTATTGAAAACCCTAGTTTAAACAAACTTGAATAAAATCTTGGTAGCCAGTTTTTTATAAGGTCAACTACCTACCTTTGACAGAAAACTTTTAAGTGAAACCAAATCAATTAATGTTATAATTGCTTGGCGAATTTGCATTGCATCAAGTTGATCTTTCCGAGACGAATGTATGGAATCTAGTTATAGAAAAATTAATTTGAATCAACAGTATTTGCAGATTTTTATGTTAAGTATAGTGAGTTTTGGTTGAGTTATGAGTCTATTTTTTGAAGAAAAAAATACGTCAAAAGCAATAATGGGACAAAGCAGACTGGTTTGGTGGGGCTGCTCTTATGGTAATTCAAGTTACCTTTTATGCATCTTCTTCCACCTCAGAGCAATCAGCTCTTTGATTATGTAATAGTCTGTATACGACCAATTCATCGACCATGGTTGTCTACACGGTGCATTCAAGCTATGCCAACTTTTGAAATTTAGGTATTAAATTTACATGGGAAAATGTTGGCATGGATTATTGTTATAAAAACATAAAGTAATTTTGGCTAATCAATTTACTATCAGTTTCAACTTGTAGTCGAAATTTGAGATTTGACAATTTAAGGACAAATTTAAGAACGTTTCTCGTTTCTTTTATGTGCTTTCTATACAAATGTTCACCTATTTTGAAAGAATTCAACCAGTAATATTTCAGAAAATAAAAGAGATAAATGCATCATTTTTCGATTTTCAGTTATAGTTCTAAGAGTCAAAGATGTATGCAAATTTTCACCAAAATCTGTAAATAAAGGCAACAGTAGTATACCGCTGTTCGAAACTCATAAATCGATAGAGATAAAAATAAATCCGGGTTACAAACTAAAACTGAGGGAAACGCATCAAATATAAGAGGAGAACAACGACACAACAAAAACACAACATTAAAATGTAACACACACAGAAACGAACTATAATATAACAATGGCCATTTTCCTGACTTGGTACAGGACATTAAAATAAAATAGCCCATTTACTGTAACTCGACCTTAAAGTGTACTAAAAACTTTTTTTGTTGCATGTAATATTGAAAATGTAGGTAATTATGTGCGTTCTGATCTCTTTCATATTCATGATATTAGCCTTTAACATAATAAAACATTGAAAATATTTAATGACAATTTAAGTAGAATTACATAAAACACTCGAGATATTCAATATAGCACGATCTAAATTCAGATTCTCATTGAAATGTGTATCTAATTCACATGTCAGTCAGTATTTTATGAAATATGTATTTTTTTTATTTTATTATGTTTCTTACTTTTTGTTACAGTAGTGCTATATCAGAGACCCATTGTATTCTATGTCTCTAGCTATATTAAGTATTTCCATGTATTTTTTATATACAAAAACATAAACAAGTACCGACATGTGAATCAAATAAAATTTTAATATTTATTAATAAGAAGATGTGGTATGAGTGCAAATGAGACAACTATCCATCAAAGTCACAATGTGTAAAAAATAAACAATCATAGGTCAAAGTACGGCCTTCAACACAGAGCCTTGGCTCACACCGAACAGCAAGTTATAAAGGTCCCCAAAAAGACTAGTGTAAAACAATTTAAACAGGAAAATCAACGGTCTTATCTATATAAAAAACGAGAAACGAGAAAGACTTATGAACCACACCAACAAACAACAACCACTGAACAACAAGCTCCTGACTTAGGACGGGTGCATAACAATGCAGCGGGTTAAAACGTTTTAACAGGCGCCAACATTCACCCTAACCTGTAACAGTGGTATAACAGTACAACATATGTTCACTATTAAATCCCACTGAAGGATTAATATTTTTTTAGAAAAAAAAACATGTGTAAAATACTTTTTAAATTAATCATTGTAAAATTCTTCTTTTTGAAGTATGAAGTATTGAAGTCTTTCATATTTAGAACAATAACATTTTTCAAGTACTAACATTTCTATTGTATTAGTTTATAGTCTATTTTTTCAAATCTAATTAAACCCTTTCATACCGAATGTATCCTTTTGGCACCCTCGTACGCATTCCGAAATTATCCTTTTGGCAAAACGGTGTAGATGCTGAAAGTATTCTTTAAAAGGATACACGAGTTTCTCTTTTTAGACGATCACAAATCAAACAGAAAAAATAACGCACGAACGAATTTCTTGATAGAGTTGGTCCATACATAGTATAATAAACACCAACTGTATTCCATAAATTCGTATCCGGCGTTAATACATGTACGCTGTCAAACACAATGTTTTTTTTCAAAGAATGTTGAGAGAAAAAACTCGTGACGTAACAAAATGGCGGAATCGTAAACAATCGCTGTCATGTGTTTCATTTGGAGTTTTAACATTTAGAAAACTTAACCTGCCGTCATGAGAGCAGTTGAACTTGTATAAAAGTAATATTTGTACGTATACTTTGGAGTTGTGAGAGAGATATTTGTGAAACAACCCGAAATCGAGTCTTTGATTGTCGTCAGCAGGTGCACGACTATCACTTTTCATTTCTCGCTGGCTTTTGACAGTCAATCGTTCATTACCGAATGAATCAGAGTTTTTACTGTCATTATAGACATTTTTGGGAGGCTGTGGTGCTACAGGTTTTATTTCTTTTCATCGAAAAGCAACTTGAAAAGCAACTTGGTCTTCTGAAGGTGGAGAAAACGAAAGTCCACTTTCAATAGGAATCATTCACGACTTTTCACGAGAGGCGGCGCTGCGGTTCTATAGGTGGTTAGTTGGACGCTTGATTTCACGGAAAACGCTTACCGCTTAGATAAACAAATGGACGTCAACGACCAGTACTTGTACTGGCCTCTTAAAAAGTTAAAGAATGAGCTGGCAAGTCGTGGTGCAGTTGGAACAGGAAGAAAGGCAGACCTTATTGAAAGGTTTTTAAATATAATGTGTATTTTTAATGAAGCTTATTGATCCTTATACCCTGCTAAAGTCTGCCGGTTTCCATTACATGTACATGTAGTATGATGATGTACATGCATACATGATGCCACATCACGTTTTTTCAAAGATATATTTTAAAGCAATTTCTTGTCGAATATTATTCAACTTGGTACCAAAAGAAAAAGTATTTTCACAGGTTCGTTTGTGTATTTGATTATGTTATTGTTGAGAAACGTTTTTATTTACTGATGATGTTTTTGTTGCTATATATTTTTCCATCTAATAAAACCTAAAAAATATTATATTTGTACATATCAATAGTAGCCAATGACTGAACAATACAAATACACTAGAAAAAAAAGAAGATAAGTGATAGATCTATATGTGTTGGTTAATGCTCTGAAGCCAGTGAAGGAGATAAGCTTCAACATAATATTGTACTGCAAAAAAAAGATTTTTATAGGAAATATATATATATATATATATATATATAATATAAAGCAAAATTTGGTAGGTGATAGGTGATACATATTTTTGGCCATGGAAAGAATTGCAAACAAATATCCAACCCCCTCAGTCATAAAAATTACAGTGAGTATTTATGCTCCCTGTATATATTTGGTAGAGAATAAGCACCAGCTACATGTACATGTATGTGTTTCTTCCAAAATATGTTTCTCAAACATATTCTTTATTTATACTTACTGTTTTTATTTCCTCGAATACTTCACATCATTATATACTTTTTAAACATTCATTTTAAAACAAAAATAAGGAGATGTGATATGATTGCTAATGCCATGAGACAACTATCCAATGCCTTGTACATTTTAATTCAATAAATGTAATTTTAGAATACTCAAATATTATTTTGTAATTGTATACTTGAGAACACTTCATTCTATTTTTTTTTTTAATTCATTTGCAAAAAACACATTTTTTATTTTCTTTTGTAGACTAAGAGCATATGATAAAAATCAGAATTTCAAAAATCCTGTTATCCATGCTCCAGAGCCATTGGAGGTAGAATGGCCTGTTTCAGGGTTTAAACAGTTGAAGAAGGAGCACAAGCTCATCATGCCGAAATTATCAAGAGAGCAAATAGAGGCTTATTTCTTGTATAGGATGGCAGGTAAGTACATGTTGTTAACCCTGTTTATTTATGATCTTCATGCTTGATTTATAATAACTGTGTTTTTTTGTACCTAAAAAATCTTTTTGCTTCTTAATTATTATAACTGTTATACCTTCACATTTAAATATTTAAAAGAGAAGGAAGACACAAAAGGGACACTCTTAAGTTATACATTTAAGTAACAAAAAAATACCACGGACAAAAATAAATTAAAAAAAAAAGAAAAGGATAAACATCAATAACAAAACTTCACATAGAAAACTACGGACTAGCAACACATACCTATAATTGATTAATATAATTTTTATCTTTTAGAGGACAAGGTGTATAGTGGTGACCTGCAATCTATGACAAAGGGTCAACTGATGTTTGAAAGCCATAGAGTTTTAGCGTGTTCTATTTTAAAAAATGATAATGGGATATTTCTTAGTGGTGTGGTAGGAGCAGCTATGAAGAAAAAGGTATCATTACACTTTCTGCTCTTAATCTTTATCTTAGTGGAGAAATATTTAGTAATCATGAATCTTCACTTATTATTAGTTTTGAAAGATACATTTATTTTTACATCTTAGTTATTCATTATTTTTTAAATGTCAGCTTCACTTCAAAAGATCACACATGAAATTTCATTGCTTCTGTTTCTATTACCTTCAATTTTACAATTTATTTTGTATTCAGGTAACTTACAACTACAGGTTGAAACTTGAAAAGAGCTCCGGTGATCCACTGAACTCACATTGTGAATGTCCAGCTGGAAGGGGACCACATGGATCCTGCAAGCATGTGGCAGCAGTGCTAATAATGATTAGTGAGTTCATAGCAACTGGCAATGTAAATACAGGAAGGTCGTGTACTGACACTTTAATGATGTTTACCAAGCCAAAATCATCATATAGTGGTATGTAATTTTTGTGATTTTCATAGTGCAAAACTGTAGTGGTAGCCTAAAGCCACCTGACGAGTACCCTTGGCAGGGACGAAACAGTTTAAGCAAAAATCTCATTAATCACCAGAAATTTGCCAAAACTTACCCTTTTATAAATTTCAATTACATACTTTATAACTTTTTCCACATTGGTAATACACCTTAACAATCTATGAACCAGATCTAGCATTGTACCATGTGTTATAAAAATATCATCTTTAGTTTATGCTGTAGAATAAAGTATTGAGCAGAACTTCATCACAGATACTCAATTGTGAAATGTAGGTTAGATTGACATAATTTCCCTTGGTCTAGCTTACTTCAGTACCAATTAAGATCTGCAGTATAAATAAGAAGATGTGGTATGAGTGTCAACATGGTCAATGAGACAATTCTCCATCCAGGTCACAATGTATAAAAGTTAATAATTATAGGTCAAAAGACAAGTCTTCAACATGGAGCCTTGACTCACATGGAACAGCAAGCTATAAATGGCCACAAAAATGGCTATTGTAAAACTATTCAAACTGGAAAACCAACAGTCTAATAATCTATATAAAAAAAGTAACACCTATGAACCACACCAACAAACGACAACCATCTGACAACAATGTATTTACCAAGATGCATTGACACATCAGCATCAGTTACTACAAACTGGACCACAACATGAATCTGTATTCATAGTTTGGGTAAAATAAACTGTTATCACAGAGATATGTCTCGCCTTTTTGTAATTTTGATAATGCAAATGTTGAAATTAAAATAGCAATACTTTAACATGTAAGTTATACAAATATTCAAAGTCGATGAACCATGACTGAAGGTACATGGCTAAACAATCTCCATGGAATGAGATGTACCAATGCTAATACAACTGCATACCAAATACCATTGACTTATTATAAGTCGTTCTTAAACAAACCTAAACACAAACATTAACTTGTAAACTATGTTAAAGTTTCAAAGTCAATGAACCATGATCAGGGGTTGGGCTATATAATCTCCATGGAAACGATACTTGCAAATGCCAATAAATTTGCGTACCAAATATCATTGACTTAACATTAGCAGTTCATCTTAAACTGATCTAATCACAAACTAATACATGTAAACTAAGCAAAAGTTTCAAAGTAAATAGACCATGACTGAGGGGGCGGGGCCAAATATTCTCCATGGAAATGAGATGTGCTAATGCTTATACAACTGAACACCAATTAACATTGGCCTACCACTAATGGTTCCCCTTGAACTGACCTAATCACAAACTAAAACATGTTAACTTAGCAAAATTTTCAAAGTCTATAGACCATGACTAAGGGGGCGGAGCCAAATAATCTCCATTAAAATGAATATGCTAATGCTTATACAACTGCATACCAAATATCATTGACCTACCACTAGTGTTTCCTCCCCATAAATTGACCTAATCACAAACTAATACATGTTAACTATGAAAAGTTTCAAAGTCAATAGCCCTTGCCTGAGGGGGCGGGGCCAAATAATCTCCAAGGCGAGACAAAAAAACTGTATGACAAATGCTACCAATTAACTAGATAAAAAGTAACTTCCAGATTTTTTGTTGCATAGTAAAATGCATCTTTGCAGTTTACTTCTGTTCTTTTAAGGGTCTCCAGTGAAAGCAGAAAAGTTGCCAACTAAGAGAAAGCTGGCACCAGTTTATCTTGCTGATCCTAGACCAATTAAATACAGAAACTGCCCAGGTTTCAATGACCACATCAAAAACACTGTAACAAACTTCTGCAGTGTATCATCAATGGACTTATCAATTAGATACTTGTATGAAAAAGCTGATATTCAGGTAAGTGTGACTGTTTATTATAATTGTATAAATATATCAACATAAACAGTTTAACAGAATAAACAATACAATAAAAATAACATATATTGGTAAATTCATTAATCTATGTATATCATAAACACTGACCTTCATGAGTCATAACAACATTAAATAAATTCATAAATATTCATTTCTTCCATTAATATCATAAATCACTTCATTGTTTTATATTTATTTTCAGGCAGTAGCCAAAGATCATGATTATTGTCCCATGCCTTTTACTGAGCATTGGGTTGATAGAGCAAATAAGGTATTAAAAACTGGTTCAATAAATTTGGATCACAGTTTGGTAAAAAATTGAGTTATCCCCCTTTGTCCTAGAAATATAATAAAAATGTAAATGCAAGTTACCCAGGAAAAATGACAGAAGGATGCATGAAGTTCATCAATCATTAATCTGTTTTATAAATTTACCTAATGCTTAACACGACAAAATAAGAGAGGGTTTTTAATATTGTCATTGAGCTTTCCTATTATGTTCTTCAAAATGCTTTAGATATTTTTACTTTGGTAATGATTTTAAGTCTTAATTTAATAAAGATATGGAATCATGGATAAACAATTATTTTCAAAAAGGAGTGGACTAAATTAAATTATTCAAAGTTTTTCTTCTTTTAATTTACAGGATCATGATATTAGAATCAATCAATCAGAATGATATTATGTTTTCATATAGGTTACACAATCAGATATAGATTTGATTGAGAGGTCTACCCGCCTACAAAGTTGCAGTCCCAAGTGGTTAGAAGAAAGAAGATGGAGACTCACAGCATCTACCTTCGGCGAGATTTGTAAAGTCACTTTAAGACGGAACACTAACAAATTTTGTCATTCACTTTTTTATGGCTCAAATATTCAGAGCAAAGCACTTAGTCATGGCAAAAACTATGAAGCTAAAGCATTGAAGGCTTTTAATTTAAAATTTAATATGAATGCTAAAAGATGTGTTTTTTATGTCAGTATTGATAAATCTTTCCTTGGTGCTTCACCTGATGCCATTTTAGAGGATGGTAAAGCAATTGTCGAAATTAAATGCCCCTACAATGGAAGAAATGAAGATGTTAAGCCTGGTCCAAGTTTCAATTTTTTACAGATGGATAGTAATGGCAATATTGTTTTGAAAGAGAGCAGTAATTATTATGATCAAATTCAAGGGCAGCTTTTTGTCACCAAAAGATCTCTATGTTACTTTGTTGTTTATACCTTATGTGATTTGTTTGTACAAAAAATCAGCCTTAATGAGGAGTATTGTAATAACTGTCTTGTTCCAAAACTGGAGTCATTTTACCAAAGAGTTTTCAGACCGTATGTTGCTTCAACATTGTAAATTTGTAGTAAAAATCATACGAAATTCAATTAAAACAAATAAATATTTTATCAATACATATTCACTGATTACAACTAGTAGTTATTCAATTTGGAATGTCATTTTATTTGTAATTTGATACATGTATAAAATTATTTTTCTAATATATTGATTTGATTTGAAAATTAAATGCCCCTTTAACAAATCTCTTTGAAGTTTTTTTGTAATATGCTGGTTTATATCTTTATCTAAAGTTTCTACCTATACAATCAACCAGGAATGATAAAAAAATCTCTCAAAAAGGGACAGATAACTCTTTTAATTCAATTGATTGAACTGTTATCCCATTATACTTTTAAGGTTAAGAATGACTTACTGAAGCAAGCAAAATATCTCTTTATAATGAAAGAAGAAATAAATTATTAACTTATATTATTGAAGAGCTAATTCTTTAATTTGATAATCCAATTTATTTAGTACATGTATGTATTAAACAGTTTTGAGATGCAAGATAATTATTATAACACGCAATATTTGTAACCAGTAAATACTAATTTTTGACGTACATGCTAGAATCTCAAACACTTAACTTTACAATTTTCATTTATTAAAATCAAATAAAGTGATGCCAATTAAAAAAATCATAATAAATTTTTCTTTAGTGATAAATATACCAGTATTGAGTTGTTTGAATAATTTTACCTCTTGTAAGTTGGGCTTTTTATAATATAGTTATATTATTTACTTTATGGTATGTGTTTTTCTCATTTTGAAGGCCTTTATGTGATCTTTAGTTTCTTGCATCTATGTCTTACATCCAAGCCATTTAGTCTCTGGTCGATATTGTCTCATTCATAATCATACCACATCTTCTTGTACAGAAGAAGGTTACCTTTCAGATAACCATATTTTATGATTAGAATTTATAGTACAATAAAAAGAAGATCCTTTTATTCCACTGCTTATACATATTGATATTATTAATTCGTATATTTTAACTAATTTGATTCATTTAGGGATAGTCACATGTTAAACAATATTTTCGAAGCTAGGTAGAAAACGGCGGATAGCAAAAAGCATATTGCATAGCAAAAAGCATATTGCACGGTTATTTTTAGAATACTCTAAAACCGATATACTTTGTGACGTCATGTAATGAATTTCATGATATTGTTTAAATTTTATAAAAAAATATCTATGATCGAGTATTTGAAGAAAAAAAATCTTCAAATACATACGATGTAAAAAAAAAACAAACATAAAAATAAATGAAATAACATCTGATATGTTGTTATTGCCTAGGAGACAATATGATATCTATAAAATTCCAACAAAATCAAATGACAATTTTGATACAAATTTGGTCGGAAATTAATAATATAACAATTATAGCCCATGTATGAGGTCAATACAGGATATATCATCCCAAATAAGTATATCGACCTCGGATTTTGTCCTCAGTCAATATATTTCTTTCAGGTCAATATATCCTTGTATCGACCTCATACAAAGGCTATAATTGTATATAACAGCTTACACGTTAGTTCAATATTTGATTGGTTGAGACTATCCCACACGTCATTAAACAAATCTTCATATTCCCCTCTGAAATGTTAGGACTACATAGTGTGACATAACGATTTGAACTTTTTTTATTAAAAAGCTATAGGAAAAATCATTAGCGTGTTTGTATTTATTTCAGACTCTAAAGCAAATACACTAATAATTAACTTTTGATCCGGACTGTTTAGGACAAATAAAAAAAGATGTGTGTTTCCCATTACCCTACCCTCCTTATTTTTTAAGCTCAAAAATAGCCTACCAGTGGGAAAGCCAGTGACATTGAAGAGTTCCTTCCGGTGGTCACGCGGGAAAGGGGACATAATCTAAAAATTTCGAGGTGGCGCTGTAATCAACGTGTAAACAAAAACGTAGCATATGATTCAGACAATAAATTTATCAAAACGACTTATCATCCAACAGTATTTGCGGTTTAATCTTCATCAGAATAGATTTTGTCACACGACTGTCAAAAACATATTAAAATAAGTGCTTCGTTATTGAAATATGATAAATCAAAAGACTACCTCCGTTGATTTCCAAAAAACCGCGGGTAATACCCCCGTCTGAAAATAACTGACACAATTGCATCCTAAAGCTTTTCATTGGATGAGATATAAATAAATGTGACCCAGAAACATATGGGCACATGACTATGTAAAGAATTCCCCGTCACTTCGAGTCTTGTTTACATAATAAATACCTCAACCGGAGGTCAAAAATCAACATTTTTCTAACGTTTTTGGCGTTATTTCATTGCAAAATGGGGCAAATGATGTTAATTTTACCAGTTTTTAACCACGAAATTGATTCAGACAATGATGTGTGATGATGTTTCCGGGATTTTTAATATGTTTTACATAAAAATGTTGATAGGTTGAAGGCTTCACTCCGTTATTTGTTGATTTTTTTCATGTTGCTCAGACTCCTTGTTTTAATAATTTTCTGCATTTATTTAATTATGCGGCAGTGTATAACAGATTTATGTAGTACATTGAAACTGGTTTATTCTATGAATGAATTTGTCCATATAAATGACTTCAGTTGTCTGGAAGCCCCCCCACCCCCCCCCCCCCCCTTTTCCCACTTTCAAGAAATTTCAGTTGGGCAAAAAATATTGTCTGAATGAAAAGCTTGCACAAATGCAAAGTGTAAGCACTCAGCTAATGTCTGTTTTAAGCCATTTTTTTAGTCTAATGATTACAGTCATTCTTTGTTTCTGTAAATATTTACCTGAAATGTGTCAACTTGTCAATTTTAAAAATATTAAAAGTATAAATCAACAAATATTGCCTGCCTGCCACTGTGACATGAAAATCTAATGAGTCAATAATTTTCACTTGATTTTTAGTTTTTTGTTCTTATTTGTATAAATAAAACTATTATGCAAGTGGGAAGTTAACACACAAACATTTGTATTTTGCCTGTCCTTATCAAGGAACCTGTTGTACACTAACCATTCATGTTTAAGTGTGTCTGGGCCCTGGTAACAAGTATTTGTCATTGTGTTTTCAAGTGTGTGCTTGTTCTTAAAGAATTGTTTTGAAAAAGTTTTTCTTCCATATATATATAGTAGCTGTATTTATTTTATCATTAGTTCTGGATTTAGAATTTTTATCACGTGCTGTTTTATAAGGTCCTTTATACTTGACAAATTGGTTTGCAAATTGTTGAAGGCTAAAACTGTTCCCTATAATTATCATCCTCTATCAATTGTCAATCATGTCAATATGGGTTTCTTTTAAAAACAACTTTTCCCAAGGAAAAACTAAAGTTGAAAAAAATAGTTCAACCCAGATATGATGCTGAAGAAATTAACATTAACAATGGTATTTTTCAAATATAGCATTCATTAATTACACTATTCCTTCACAGTGAAAATGAAAAAAAAAAAATTTCTAAATCGAATGCATCCAAGGGCTTTCCTGGATTAACCTTCAACAGGTATGCTCAATGCCATAGTACATATACAAGTCTTAATACAAGTGAGAGCTATATGACCATTAAGAGCATTAAAAAAAGCTATATTGCTTCTGAGGTCTACTTTGAAGATGGCATATGAATGTCTCACTCTGATTTTGGTTATCCTGTTTTGTTGCGTTGATATTAATGTTTGACCAACAACTTTTATTTCACACTA